CTTTTTGTCTTCGGCATCAACTTTTTTTCTTTTTCCTCACCTGTGTCTCGGGTTTTGAACATCATGATTAACTATCACCAGCCTGCCTGCTCATTCCCAATCTTTTCATCAATACCCTTTCAGTGTTCCTCTAAAGGGACGCTGAACCTAAATCTGGATTCCACAAAATACGCGGCAAAAGCGTGCAACGGGATGCTACAAACACCATAATATCACTCATAGAGCGATATCTCGAATGGAAGACCGTATTTTTTTAAAAAAAGGAGGCGTATTTGACGGAAATGTCCGCGTCATCTTTTCCTGAGAAGAAGAGGGAACGGCCTCACGTCTTCTCCGCTTCGCCGCCTTGAGGGGGCAAAGCTAAGAGAGGAGGAGGAAACGAGATATCTCTACGGTCACGCGCCTCGTCGGCCTGGTTCAATCTCGACCTCTTCTCCAAAAATACGGCCGTCCATTTGAGATATCGCCTTACGAGTAGTCTTGTAGGGGTCGTAGCGTCCCACCTACATCACCTGGATTGTGTTTGTGAAATCCAAATTTCAATTCACCATCTATCTAAGAAATGAATAATATGGCTTTATTATCTTCGCGTTTGTTTATTCGCGACTCGTTCTTTCGCACGATCGGCTAATGGCTGAAACTTCTAAGATATATGCCACGGAACGATAATAAGGCGCTCCGCACTCTCCGGGCGTTTTTAAGTCTGTCAATGAGGAAAGGAACGATATTCGCTGTTTATTGTTTATGCTAGTGCAACAGAAGATTTAAAGATGCTTTTAACACAATATATTGGCTAAGTGAAAAAAAATACCGAGAAGTAGCCACATGAATTATGTCGCTAACCACACGCCAGAAAGCTGTTTCCCCTTCAAACCTAAAATAAAGGCTATGCTGGAAACGCAGTCAAGTTGACAAAAAAGCAATTCTTAAAAGATATTAGAAGGCGTCTAACACTGCCTGTGTTTAATTGGGAAGCAGACGGGACCACACGCAGTGGCCCTAAAGTTCAGCGACACCAAAGCAAACTTGCTGTTTTGCTTGTTCCTGGAATAATACTCATCTATGCAGTCAAGTACGTTTGTCGGCGTCATTTTCATTTTCCTCTATATTAACTACTTACGAATCGTTCCGTTAAGCTTGGCAATAATCACGAATAACACATCCATATTTTTAAGAAAGATTATAGTTGCTTGAAGCGACTTGAACAACCTGTCTGCTAAACCGTTCTATTTTATTGTGAATATTGAGAAGGCCAACATATCAGTAAGACAACACACATGAAAACGGTAAGCATGTTTTGGCTACCTCTATAATTTTTCTTTATGCGCTTTATTGCTTCTGGGAGCAAGTTGATATGCACGAGCATCGGTTTATAGGCAAAACTAGGTTTCCGCTCTTCTGTTCAATATTCAGCGTATCTATAGAAATGTGTCCGTTTTGTGTTTGAATGTACGGGGACGTGCATATGTCTGAGTGTATCTTTGCGAGGAGTGTGTGCGACCATTTTGGCGGGCGCGACAGCGAGATGTTCTGCACATGCGATTAGCTGTCACTGCCCAACCCCGTACCTCAAGCGCATCGGTGCAATCAGATAGATATACGGTAGAGAGTTGAATACTCGCAATGGGGTTTTTAAGAAAGATTCATGGAGTCAAACTAAGTTTACTGCCTCTGAAAAACGTACACCAAATGGCAGTACAGCCAATATCAAATTATTCATTTATCGAATGAACCCTGAGGGCCCGAGGGCAATATAAAGGGGGAAAGCATATACAAAAAAAAACAAAACAAAAAAAAACAACAACAAAACTGCGATGCATGAACAATATAAATAAAATAATAAACACTCAAATATGTCATGGACCATTCCAAGGATGCTTATGCGATAGCATTTTTCAACAGGTTAGTGTTTGTGATAGTAGGAATGGAAATGGACAGGTGGTTTATTTTTATGGTACGCGAGAAAAGAAGAATCTGGGAAATGTGGCTGTTAATTAGCTCTGGAATGCGTAAAAAACACGCTTGAAAAATTATGTAAGAGGACTAGGAAGTCAGGAAAAATAATACACGCATTCATTAACTGTGCATGCAAAAGGTTTCACAAACGTCACCGAGCCGAGAAAGAAAACACGACGTACAGACCTTATTAATAAAAAGATGAACAGCCAACAAGCGTAATTCCAAGCACTATTACTATATGGTTAAAAAGGAGGAGGCGGTTCAAGAGTCACTTATTTTTAACTTAAGACCCTATGCACACATAGAAATAAAAAAATAAAAAAGACACGCCAAAAATGAATGATTCTGCTTGCCTTCTCCGACATACTTCGCATTTTACTGCATAGAGTCATAGCTGCTACAGACTGCCACCATACTCAGTGTGCTACATTGCAGAGCAATAGTAGCACCCCAGTACCTAGACAAGTGAGGGCGCCTGCGCGCGTAACAGGGTGCTCGAGTGAGGCGTTGTAATAAAGAAAGAGAAAAAAATATTCTTCTTGAGTAAACTTTGTGCAGAACATCTCAATTTCTTATCCCGTGTTACACTCCACAAGCAGCCCATGCATCTACTTTTCTGCACAACACTCGAAAAGCCAATCACCGCAACTTACGGAGGCAGCTCTGCGAATGATGAAGCCAAAACTTATTTCTAAAAAAAAAAAAACAAAAAAAAAAACGCAGTTTGAGTTGTGACATTAAGCAATGCAAGACTTCAGGCTTATGCATTGCTTAATGTCAAAGCTCAGGCGTTTTTTTGGTCTAAGCACATGTTTCGGCATCGTCATTCGCTGAGCTGTCTCCGAGAGTTGCGGTGATTGGCTTTTCGAGTATTGCGCGGGAAAATAAACGTACGGGATTTTTTTAGATTGTAGGAACAGTGCAAACCCTATCGTTATTGATCTAGAAATTTGCACCAAAGCTTCTTACAGTTGTTTTCCCGCTAAGGGGATTAAGTTGACGAAACAGCTGATGGGGAACCATTACTACTTTTAACGCCTCTTTACTTATAGATGTAGTGCGAAAACAATGTATTTTATCTTTGCGAACCACCATTAATGTCCGGGTGGCCAAGTCCCAAATGTGTTTGCTGTGACCTTCACTAAAAGCAGCACACTCTACCGGGGAAACTTTTCTAGTAACTCTTCTAACTTCTCCGTATTGTGAAACAATTATGCACACAAGACACGAGAAAGCAAAGGAAATGGCTACTGTCTAGGTTATTTAGTTAGGTTCCTATGTTCGAAAGGGTCAACAGGAACTTCTCTAGAATTAAAGCATAAATAGGCTAATAGTGGCCGGTAAGTCATATAATGCGACTGGTCTGCTGTTACGTAAAATTCATATCGTGGTCTGAAAATTCCCCAGGAGGAAATCATACAGGAACTAGCATGTGCTTATCGCAAGTCTCGCAATATTCGGTCATGTTTTTATTTCTTTGACAGCTGGTGTGCTTAAAGGAACCATGAAGACGATTTTATTTATTTCTTTTAAAATGGTGCTTTCGTGGTTCTTGGGAACATAGCATGCTGGCCAATTTTTTTTAGACATTTGTGACGCGTATTTTGTGCCTACAAAAGAAATGAAGAAATCGAAACTGAACAATCTCCATTCTCGTTTCTGGGCCTCCGAAAACGGAGGTAACCTAGGGAGTGACGTCAAGTGTGAATAATCGGTATCGGTAGAATCTAGGAGATCAAGATTCTGGTTATTGCGGTGGGTTATAGCAGCGCGGTGGCGCGGTTCTTTGGTCGAATCTGTCAACATGGACGGCAATACCGCTCTCGCGAGCGAGTTCGAGCTTCCGTTCAGTGACCCAACACACGCGGAACGGGAGGAAGTGTGTGGTGGCCTCCGCCATCACCCGACGGAGACCGCCTAGCCGGCAACGAGTGGCCCGCATGCCGAAGGACAGGGACGCGGGGCAGATGCCGAGGGGGAAGCGGCAGCGATCGGGCCGTCCCGGGTACCGGTTACTCCACGGTTGGCGCTCCCCAAGAAGGAGAAAATAAACAGCACCATTTTTGGTTTTCACCAAAGTCGGACGTCCTCTTTTCGTTGTCAAAGAACACGAAGAGCAACCCACACGTGAAAACTAGCGTCGCCCGAACGAATACTCTTCAGTCGACCGTTAAAACAGCCATCTACAGCGAACAAATTTGGCATGACTACCATTTTGCAGAATCTTTCGAGTACCATGTTCTTTTTTTTATCTTATTTTAATTGCCCATAGTTGCTCGTTGCCCGTTTCGTGTCCAGCGTAGCAAAGAAAAAACAATTATGCTGCTTTATTTACGGTTTAGTAATCATCTCCGGTCCAATTTGTACTTTTCATGGTTATTCAAGCGGAAATTAGAAGAGTATTTCTGAAAATCGCGAACCAAAACGTGACCGAGGGCACGACTCTCGTTTCGACCAATCTCTGACGCGTCTCTTGTGACGTCGCGCTTCTTGGCCCCGCATCGGTCACGTGAGCTCCGCTTGCTTCTCCCGCAGCTCCCGGAGCGTCGCCGCGGTCGATCCCGGTACGATTATTACTGCGACTGTTTAATTTATTTGCGCGGCACACAAGCGCCGGTTTCGGATGAAATTCGGGCAACGTGGCCTGAGGCGTGTCTGGAACCCAGTTCAATCGCCAAAAAGATGTCCGAAGTTGCCTTCATTGTCCCTTTAACCCATGTTGAGGAATATAGAGAAAAATCTCGGGTTGCGGACCAAAAGCCAATTGATCTTATTTTGTTTCTTGAAATTTTCCCATCGGAGAGGAACGATATTTCCAGCAAAATAAGTTAAGAAATCTGATATGCTCATTAAATGAATAGGAAATAACAAGTCATGGTCGCAGTTTAAGATACATTTATATATAAATACAATAACTGAATAATTGCTGCAATATATATCCAAACCAATTTCTTAAATACCACCAGCTCTGAGCACTGCAATGGGGTACAATGATACCTGTAAATATTTTCTTTTTAAGAAATAAAAAAAATTATTCTTACTCTTGGCTCCGATTGTGGGGCCTGTGCACCTTCTGTAATTTACGAATAGCATTGTTTTTCCTGAAGCTCAAGTAAGTATCAAGGAAAGGGTCCTCTAGTGATACGTTCCCAACCTGCATAAAACACATTCAAGTCCGTGCATTCACTTAAAAACGCTTTCCAACCGTGCCTCTAACAATAAATTTCTTGATTTTTCTCATAAGATCTTTATACATTTGCGCTTCCTAAAAATGGCATTAATTCCAGAAAACATTGTTGGGCTACTGTTAAATAAATTTAACCCAAGAGCGAAACCCAGATTTAAGCAACAATTGCATATGGATATATCTGTGCATTTCTTTTGTGTATTTGTCTATGTGATGAACTACTCAGATACATTAAAGACAGGTAAATAGAATTGTCCGTCAATATGCTCACGTGTTTATAGGTCTCTCTTAAGACATCTTCTTGATGTATTTCTTCTGGGTAGCCTATTTTAAAAACAACATTCTTAAGCTGAAAGCAAACAAAAACATTATTTACTATATAAATCCGTCAAATATTTTAGTTCTGATTTCCGGCCAAATTACCTTTTTTTGTGCCTCTTCTTTGGTCTCATTGTCCATCCATGTGTAATTTCGGATAACAGCTCGAAGAGCGTCTCTAACAGTTTCGGCGATAGACTCAACCTGAGAATAGGGGCATATTTCCAGCCCGAGAAATGTTTTTTATGACGCTTGATATGCGTTTCGAATTTTACACATAAATCATTTACTGCACGCAGTGAGAAAACAAGTACAGATTATTTCTGTTCTAAAGGTGCTTGCGGCAAAATGCCAAGTCTGATAGTGCCTCTCATTTTGTGCGCATAAACTCACGCTACGTATATCGTGGCATACCCGTGCTAAGCCACCACAATTTTTTTTTACATTTCTGCTGTTTTATGTAATTTCGTTACGTATCAGTAAAGTTCTTTATGATTTATTTATTACTGCATTAGCCCAAAGATTTTTTAATTCTCTCCTGTCGGCTACATAAAGACGCAGCAACAACCGGCATCCTCGTTCACAATTCCCCCTCTCCACGTCGCTATAGACACCTCGGACGTTTCCAATCAAGGTTTGGAAAAAAGCAAGCTAACATCTCTACTGTTAGCTTTAGTGGGAAAATATTATTACAAAACTATTGACCATATTATTTGTAGGGTACTTACATCTTTTTTTTGTGCTGAATTAAAGTACTTATCCACATACAACTTTCCCAGCCCGTAGCCGATTATTGGCTCATACGGATCGTTCAATGCGCTGACGCAATGTCTCCATCGCGGTTCTTGTCCCTGGAGGCCTCTCCACACTTTGTTGAAATTAAAGTTGAGTGTTGTCATATTATGTGAAGCAATCGGTCCTAATTTATACAGAAGTCTCCATCCAAAATAGTTGTTCACTGTCACCCTGAGAGAAAAACGGTAGGTCAAATATTTCTGACAGGCCTATTGAGTTACCATGCCGAAGCCCAATCTTCGCCACCTCAAATACCCGTTTTTTTTCTTGTTTTTTTTTTTAGTTGCGTCGAATTTAGAAAATGTTACTAAATGTCATGCGTATGCAGGCAGAAAGTTTGTATTTCAATAGGTCTTTATTAATATTTTAGGCAATATAAAGTTTAAAAAAACCCGGTGCCTCGCAGTTTTTTTTTTCAATTTTAATAACAGCATGAATGTTAGTAATTCTGAGCAAACGTCATCGCAGAATAATTTGTGCATACTTATTCTCTAGTATTGCGAGTGCCTTAAACACGCATAACATGTTTAATTAGTACTTATAAATAAGCTCTTGAATTCAATATTCAGCAAAATAACTTGATATATCATCGGGCCGACAGGACGACTTGGTTTCGAAAACCGCCAGTAACGACTATTCATTAAAAAAATGTTAGTTTCGACCAAGTTGTCAAAGATAACTGTAATTATTTCGTAGACAAGCGCGTAAGACATATTGTTAAAAAAATAATTCCAGCACTATGACGACGGCTTCTATTGAGGTTTAAAAGATCTTGTAAAGCCTTTTTTCTTACCCAGATGTTTCATTGAGCAACTTCATAGCTCCCGTAAGGAATCTTTCATTGAAAGCATTCACCTCTTCTTCTCCGGTTAAGTTCACTGACACATCTTGGAAGATATCCTTTAGAAGCTGAAGCCACCCTTCCTGGCAAAACAAAATATCATAAATGCTTCCATCCAACTTGTACACCTGCTCTTGGATAACTATTTCTAATCTAAAGCTTACTGATTTTAATTTCCTATCAACATCTTTCAACTTTGTGGATGGCTCGGGCTCCTTTTCAGGTGGGTTTGTAGATTCGTCACTTCTTGCCTGGAGCTGCAATGTAAGAGCAGATGATCATCTTGTGAACAAGGAAAATTTTAACAACACCAATTTTGCATCTATCAAGTTTCAAAGGATTTTGACCATTAATATTACTAAACGGACATTTGCTGTACTTCAGGAGTTTCGCTTCGAGTATCAGATGTGAGTCGATCTTTGAATTTGCTTTGAGAGTTTTAATTGTATCTCATAGTTTAAAGTAGGTTTAGTCACTTTCAACTGCAGCGATTTTAAACGAATTTGCGCCATAAATGTTTGGAATATTTAGCCACATATACCTCTGGCGAATTTGCTGAGTGACCAAGGGATGTATTCGTAGACATGTACAACCCGCCTCCGACAAATTACACTTCTGGAGATATATATACCGGTTTTTTGTTTAAGCTTAACAGATTTGTTTAAAAAAGCCGTGAAAGTTAAACTTATGCCGCTTGTGGAGGTGAGTTATACGGCCAGGGGGACATTTTATAGGGGGCTAATTGTAACAATCTGTCGTCTAATTAATTAAAATTTGTTAATTAACTTTTTAGTTAATAAAAATAGACATATGGTTCCAATTAGAAACTTGCTCAGCGTCATCGAAAACCACTAAATCAGTCATTTTCAGAAAGAATGTCGGCGCCTGAGAAGGTAGTATTGTACTAAAGTTACCACTCGTGAAGCAGCTACAAGGCTGGGGCTAGATAAGAGACGGAAAAATCGCGAGGGCGCCTTATCTCAACCGCTAGCTTTGTACCTGCTCCACGAGTGGAAATTTTCGGGCATTACTACGCTTCTCACGCGCCGAAAGTCTTTCTGAAAGCGACTGATTTAGAAGTTTTCGATGACGTTGAGCAATTTTCTAATTGGAACTATATGCCTATTTTCATTAATTAAAAAGTTAATTAACGAATTTTAATTAACTAGTCGACTGATCGTTACGATTAGCCCCCTATATTATGTCCCCCTGGCCGTTTAACTCACCTCCACAAGCGGCATAAGTGTAACTTTCACGGCTTTTTTTAAACAAATCTGTTAAGCTTAAAAACACACACACACACACACACACACACACACACACACACACACACACACACACACACACACACACACACACACACACACACACACACACACACACACACACACACACACACACATATATATATATATATATATATATATTTGTGTGTGTAGGTTATCCCAGTGAACGAGCGAACTCTTTATATGCTGCTCTGCTCATTACCGGATTGCAGCCCCGCATAAATAAAATTCGTCTTGGGCATATGAGATACATAATATTGTGTAAGCGGTGAGAATATTTTCAAAAATATCTGTTAATAAATTCAATAATCAAACTTTAAAGCATTTTAGTGATATTAGGGGACATTAGAAACGCCTCTTTTGGAATATTTATCTTGTTCAAAAAGGGGCTAGACGCCTTGTTCATTGCATTTTCCTAACAATATAGCTTCTCACTATATTCTAGTCTACAAAAATGACAGTAATTAGCGATGAAATAACCAATGTTAAAACATACGTTTAAACAGATGAGCCCGAGTTTATGGCTCTAGCGGCACGTTGTCTTTCGATGGAGTTGCGTTATTAGTGATATGTCCTGAGTCGTAATATCATGTATAGAAATTTAATGTAGTATTTTTAGCGAGTAAATCGCATATCTTAATGCATTCACTTAAATGCTGATACATTTGAGGAAACGTTGCTTGATTTTTAGCTAGGTCGATAATATATTCTTTTAAAGACAGGTTTACTAAGTTGAGTTTATGGCGACCACACTGTTTCGCGCCCCTTTTCTATACAAGATTACTAGATTGAACTGCGTAGGTTTATTTCAGCATAGCAATACAGGTACGTGTGAGTCGTGCCGTGTCTGGTCGCGATCTGGTGGAGAGAGGGTCCGCGCGCAAAAGCGGCGGGCAGAGTCCAGGGTCACCCGGCGGCTGTGGCGATGATGATGGTATCACGACAACTACTACACAAGCACGCGGATAGCCGCCGTCTTAGATTTTTTTATATGTTGTTTTGTTTCGCAAAGCGTGAGAGCTAAAAACAAAAGCCTGACGACCTCGCGAACATTATAACTCATCCGTTCGCGGGACTCAGGAGAGAAATATTGCCGCGCGCGCAGCTGGCCAAGTAGGCAGCACAGCCGTGGCCTAATGCTTATCGTGCTTGCCTCCCACGCGAAGAGCCAGGGCTCGATTCCGGGGAGCGACGCGTCTTTTATTTATTGTTGCAATTTAATCGCCTGGTAAATTCGAGAACCCTGTTGCTTCTTCGAGGTCCGAATGTTCTAGTCACCGAACGTTCTACGCCGAATATTCTAGAAACCCACGCGGGTATATAAGGGACTCCGCATGGCGAGCCGAGGTCAGTCTCGCTCCAGCGCTCGATCTTGCAGTTTCGCCGACATTGACGCCTGCGACGCTAACTTACTTCTATATTGCTTTGGGTGCGAGTTCGCCCGATCAAACGTTCAATTTCTTCAGTTATTCTTCGCCTCAATATTTGTCATTCATGACATTTCGGTGGAGGTGCCGGATAGTGTATCTTATGCCCGTGAAGCGTACACCTCCGAAGACATCCCGGCCAAGTGATGTGCTCAGCACCAGAAGACTACCCTTCGCCGAAGACACCGAATCCCGAGCAGGCCGTCGCATCCGGGGCCTACGTTCAGAGTGTGGTCAACTGCCAGAACCATCGAAGAAATCCCAGTCAGCCATCAACAGCCAGCCCTCGCAAACTCCGATGACCCCTTCCGTCGTATTCCTGCCTGTCGCTCCACGTACACCGACCCCCTTCAATGGCGACGTCTATGAAGACGTGGAAGATTGACTTCATCACTATGAACGCGTGACGCGGCACAACGGATGAACAGCTGAACAATGCCTGCAAAACCTCTACTTCTCCTTAGAGGGAACGGCAGGGCGCTGGTTTGAGAGCCATGAGGCTTCCCTTACGTCATGGGACACCTGCAAGGCGGAACTCCAGGGGACTTTCGCGAACCAGCAACTACTACAGCGAGCGAAAGATATTCTGCAAGTAAGGACCCAAGACCCCAGCAAAAAAGTCACCAGCTTCGTTGAAGACGTCCTCCGCCTGAGCAGTCGCTCCGACCCACAAGCCACCGACGAGAAAAAGCTGCGGATCCTGATGAGAGGCGTGAAGGGCGACGACTTCGGCGGCCTTGTTCGTAACCCACCAACTATTGTCAACGAATTTGTTGCCGAGCCAACAAACATCGAGCGTGCCTTGTCGGTCCCACCTAGCCACTACAACCGACTCGCCGGCACGCCTCCTGCATCGACTTTGGCATCTCTCCGATCTGACCAGGGCGGCATCGGCGCTAACTACCTGTGGGAAATTGTCCGGGACATCGTCATGGAAGAGCTCCGGAGCATTCTACCCGCTGCTGATAGCTCCGCCATGATTTCCATCGCCGAGGTTGTCCGAGAAGAGGTTCAGCGAGCCTTACAGCCAGAAAATCCCGTCACCGTGACCGCAACGGACGAGCCCACTCTGACCTACGCTGCAGTAGCTCAGAGACCGGCGTCAGCTGCCCGACAGTATTCGACACCGCCTTGACGTGACCTATCAGCGCCGCAGACCCTCCGACGTCGGGAAGGGCAGCCGCAGCTCGTCCGCACCGAACAACCAGCACCTAGGAAGACGGATGTGTGGCGCACGGCCGATGACGACCGCTGTGTTATCACTGCGGCGAGGCCGATCATGACTACCGAAGGTGCCCGTATCGACAAATGGACCCGCAAGGTTTTGCGCCGAGCGACCCGCGACCCCGCCTTGGGGAGCGATCAAGGGATATCAAAGAGTACCTCCGACGACCTCTGTCCCCACTGCTGAGTCCACCCCGAGGTTCCCGTTAACATTCGCCTCGACGTGCACTCTCGCCCTTCCGCCGCTCTTGTCAGGACAGGTTTTCCTTCCCGTCTCGTCGGGAAAACTATGTGCGGCAACGCCATAAGGTGGCGTTGCCGAAGACGCGTCCGAAGCAAAGAGCCTCCAAGAACGACGGAGCCCTCCCACTCTACCGACGCTACGCATCACATCGACGCCCCTGTATCGGGGTCCAAGAACTTAAACGTTATTATCGACGGCCACGACGCGCTTGCACTCGTGAACACCGGAGCAGACCACTTCATCTTGAGTGGGAGGCTCTCGCGACACCTTCGAAAAGTGACAACGCCGTGGGAAGGCCCTTAAATACGAACGCCGGTGGACACCTCATCACAACACTCGGGAGATGCACTGCGCGCGTCGAGATCCACGGTGAGACGTACCCTCTGATGATCGTCATTCTGGAAGACTGTGCGCGCCACCTTATCCTCGGAATGGACTTCCTCTGCGAGTATGGCGCAGTCATCGACCTCGGAGCAATCCGGTGGACGCTACGAAAGCCTCTTTTACAACCGAAGGAACCCAAAGCGACTACATCCACGGTACGAGTCCTCCCAAACCTCGTGAACTTACTGCCGCGGTCGAGTGTTTTCGCACCTTTCGGGATCACCGAAGCTTTCTGCGACGAAGTTCTGCCTGACGGGAGCCTCATGTTGCTTCTAGGAAGAGGAATATGCGTCGCAAGAGGAGTAGCTGAGCTTCAGAATAGCAACACTGTGGTCCTCGTCACGAACTTCCAAAATGAAACGCAACACCTCACAAAAGGTGCAGCCATGGGCCACGTGGAGGAACTCCGATACCCCGCTGAAATTGCCGGGATGACTGACCAATCCTCGACACCTCAGTACGGGCGTACGTCGCCAGCGCAGCTCGACATTGACCCTAAGCTTCCGGGCCCGAAACGACGGCAGCTGGCTGACCTCCTCGCCGAATACCGCGACTGCTTTGCGACGTCGTCGAAGGTCCGCCAAACCGCCGTTGCGAAGCACCGCATTGTTATCAAGGACGACGCGCGCCCTGTGCATCGACCGCCGTACAAAGTCTCCGTTAAAGAACGGGAGGTGATCCAGGAGGAAGTT